AGATCAGATCAGAGGGCCGAGGCGAACTGGAGAGCCCAACGGGCTTGGGTGGCTAGGTTCTGAGCTAAGCCCCGACGGGTGCGAGCTGGGTCGGGTTAGTCGGCCGGGCGGGGTTGGGCGATCGGAGGAAGCCGGTCGGGGAGCCATGAACCGGTTGGACCAAACCGTCCGGATCGGTATCGGGTGAACCATGAACGGTCGAACCAGAATCGACCCCAATCGGAACGCGCCTCTACGAACCGGCGAGGGCATCAGGGCCGTCGGTCTAGGAAAAGGAAGGGCGGGGCCTCCAGGAGGGGATGATGGGCCGCCTGGGTACGAGCACTATCCCGAGGATGATGGCTATGGCTGGGTCCAATCGCGAGAGATGACGGACTATCGAGGTTGTCCAGGAAGGGCAGCTGGTGGTGGCAGGTACGAAGGTTACAACCGCTTTCATGAAGATGAGTATGGGTTGGTGTTTCGAGCCAAACCCTCGACCATCGAATTTATGAAATTCAATGGCCAGGAGGACGCCGGGCTCTGTTTATACGCTGCGGAGCTGTGGTTCAAGAATCATCCGACTCGAGAGGAGAGGAAGGCGCTTCTGGCGTCTTTCTACTTAGAAGGTGACGCACTACACTGGTGGGAGTGGTTGGAGAGGTCGTGTGTCGCGGCTGGGACGCTGATCACTTGGCCGCTGTTCCAGGAGGAGCTTCGTTACCAGTTTAGTAAATCCGAGGGGTGGGCGCCAGAGCAGTTGGCCAAGCTCCGATAGACCGGGTCCGTAGCAGAGTTTTGCACGGAGTTCTTCAAGCTGGGGAATCAATGCAAAGGGCTCCCGGAGGAAACCTTGGTGGGGTTATGCATGGCTCGCTTGAAGCCGGAGATCGCGGCAGCGGTCAAGATCTTTGAGCCTGATATTCTGAGGACTGCTTTTCGTCTTGCAGGACACAAGGAGGAAGAACTGGCAAGCTGGAGGAGCGTTATAGGCTGCTATCCAGGTCAGGAGGTGGAAACAACCAGAGTGCTGTTAGCAATGGAGAGGGTAACACCCTCAATTCGGCAGGTAGTGGAGCTGGTGCTACATCCGGGGGTCGGTCAGGACCAAGGACCCCACCCAAGGGTTTAATCAGACTGAGTCCAGCGGAGATCGATCAGAAGAGGCGAGAAGGAAAGTGCTTCAACTGCGATGAGAGGTTCACTATTGGACACAAGTGTCCGAAGCCCGAATTAATGATGTTGGTGGGCGCTGGGAGGATGAAGCCGAGGATGAGGAGGCGGAGTTTGGGACGAACGGACGACTAGCAACCTCGGGGTCAAGGTTGGTCCGAAGAAGGCGGGGATGATAGAAACCGCGATTTACGTTCTTTCTGCATTTGAAATAACAATTATTATTGTTAGGGAATTTTTCGGACATTTGGGAATTATTGGGAGGGATTAAAAAGTTCGGGTAGTTAGTAGAAATTGTGGTTTAGTATATAAACCATTTTAGAGAGCTAGGTCAAGGTTAAGCAGAATATTATTCATAATTATGTTGCCTAATCTCCCTCTCTTCTTTTCTCTCTGGCCGACTCCTCTCTTCCCTTCCCTCTGCTGCCGCCGCAACCCTCTCCCACTTCCTCTCCTTTTCCATTCTTCAACCCTTCTTCTTCCTCAATTCTACTAGAGTTAATCACCACCTTCGATGATTGACCCTATTTCCCAATTTCTAGTTAATCCGATAGAACCTGATACCCAGGTTTCTATCATTTGGTATCAGAGCCCCGTTACTGATCTAGAACAGGGAGACCAATCAACGTAACCATGGTGCAGACCAAGTCCATGACAGCTGCAGAGAAGGCCGAGAATGCCGCGTTGGAGAAGGTCGGTGAAGCAATATCGAAGACCTCCGCTGCAGGAGGAGCAAAGAAGGCCAGGGCCAAGGTCTCCATGCCGCAGGAGGAGCCGCTGCGTTGGACCAGACCATTCGGACCGGTACCGGGTGGACCATGCATGGTCGAACCAGAATCGACCCCAATCGGAACGCGCCTCTACGAACCGGCGAGGGCAGCAGGGTCGTCGGCCTAGAAAGAGGAAGGGCGAGGCCTCCAGGAGGGGATGTTTGGCCGCCTGGGTAAGAGCACTATCCCGAGGATGATGGCTATGGCTGGGTCCAATCGCGAGAGATGACGGACTATCGAGGTTATCCAGGAAGGGCAGCTGGTGGTGGCAGGTACGGCGGTTACAACCGCTTTCATGAAGATGAGTATGGGTTGGTGATTCGAGCGAAACCCCTGACCATCGAATTTTCGAAATTTAATGGCCAGGAGGACGCCGAGCTCTGGTTATACGCTGCGGAGCGGTGGTTCAAGAATCATCCGACTCAGGAGGAGAGGAAGGCGCATCTGGCATCTTTCTACTTAGAAGGTGATGCACTACACTGGTGGGAGTGGTTGGAGAGGTCGTGTGCCGTGGCTGGGACACTGATCACTTTGCCGCAATTCCAGGAGGAGCTTCGTTACCAGTTCGATAAATTCGAGGGCTGAGCGCCAGAGCAGTTGTCCAAACTCCGGCAGACCGGGTCCGTAGCAGAGTTTCGCACAGAGTTCTTCAAGCTGGGGAATCAATGCAAAGGGGTCCCGGAGGAAACCTTGGTGGGGTTATGCATGGATGGCTTGGAGCCGGAGATCGCGAGAGCGGTCAAGATCTTTGAGCCTGATAGTCTGAGGGCTGCTTTTCGTCTTGCAGGACACAAGGAGGAAGAACTGGCAAGCTGGAGGAGCATTATAGGCCGCTATCCCCGATCAGGAGGTGGAAACAACCAGAGTGTCGTTAGCAATGGAGGGGGTAACACCCTATATTCGGAAGGTAGTGGAGCTGGCCCTACATCCGTCGGTTCTTCATCCGGGGGTCGGTCGGGACCAAGGACCCCACCCAAGGGTTTTATCAGAATGAGTCCAGCGGAGATCGATCAGAAGAGGCGAGAAGGAAAGTGCTTCAACAAGTGTTCGAAGTCCGAATTAATGATGCTGGTGGGGCACTGGGAGGATGAAGCCGAGGACGAGGCGGCGGAGTTTGGGACTGACGGACGAGCGGACGACTAGCAACATTGGGGTCAAGGTTGTTCCGATGAAGGCGGGGATGATAGAAACCGCGATTACGTTTTTCTGCATTTGAACTTATGTGTTAAATTATTATTGTTGGGGGATTTTTTGGGACATTTCGGAATTATTGGGAGGGATTAATAAGTTCGGGTAGTTAGTAGAAATTGTGGTTTAGTATATAAACCATTTTAGAGAGATAGGTCAAGGTTAAGCAGAATATTATTCCTAATTACGTTGCCTAATCTCCCTCTCTTCTTTACTCTCTGGCCGACTCCTCTCTTCCCTTCCCTCTGCCGCCGCCGCAGCCCTCTCCCACTTCCTCTCCTTTTCCATCCTTCAACCCTTCTTCTTCCTCAATTCTACTAGAGTTAATCACCACCTTGGTGATTGACCCCATTTCCCAAATCCCTAGTTAATCCGATAGAACCTGATACCCAGGTTTCTATCACTTACAAAAGAGAGGTAATGACCAAGTCCAAAAATCGAAACAAGAAACTCCAAAGAAGAAGTTGAAAGGAGACTCCCAGAACTCAATATTGGATGGCGGTGAGACGGCCTTGCTGAGCCCAATGAGTCTAATCAGTTATAACTGTCGTGGGCTGGGGAGAACCACGACGGTTAATAGAGTTGCGAAGCAACTCAAAGCTGTAGACCCCAGCATTGTCTTCCTCATGGAGATAAAGAGACAAGATCATGAGTGGGAACAAACGACGTTGGATCTCGGATGGAAGAAAGGAAGAGGTGTTGGATCAGAAAGACGAGCTGGAGGATTGCTTCTGATGTGGAAAGAAGAGTTTAAAGTGAAAATTCTTAATGATGAACCAAACTGGATCGATGTGATGGTGGAAGGAGATGCAGGGGAACAGGATTGGAGGCTTATAGGGATATATGGTTGGCTGGATCAAGAGAATAAACACAGAACTTGGGACCTAATGAGAAGACTAAAAAATCAGCAAGCATGGCCTTGGGTGATTTGTGGTGACTTCAATCAAGTTTTGGGCTATGAGGAAAAGAATGGAATGAGGCCTCCGGATATACAAAATATGAAAGATTTCCGGGAAGCAATGGATGTATGTGGAATGGAAGATTTATGCTATCATGGAAATGTGTTTACATGAGACAATGGCAGGAAGGATGACGAATTTATTGAAGAGCGGTTGGACCGAGTGATGGCAAATGCAGAATGGAAGGCTATGTTCCATTTGCAAAAGTAAACCATTTGGACAGATGGGTTTTTGATCACCTACCAATCCAACTGGAACTAAGTCTGCAAGAAGAAAGGGTTAAGTGGGGCTGGCAATTTCGATTTGAACCATTCTGGCAAGATCATGAAGATTGTGACACAATCATTTAAGAGGAGTGGTTAAAACAGGATCATGCATCAGTGGAGGAGAGAATAAGAAACTGTGAAAAATCCCTCCTAAGATGGAGTAAGGAAACTTTTGTTAACATCAGACGAAGGAGAAGGAAAGCTGAGGCAGCACTAGCCATAATTGCAAAAAGAAGGAAAAACAAAGCTATTATCCTACTAGGTAAAGCCCTACAGAGAGAGAGAGAGAGAGCTAAATGAGCTGATACATCAGGAGGAGCTTTTATGGAAATAAAGGTCAAGAGAGGACTGGCTTAAGGGAGGCGACTGTAATACTAATGATTTTTATCGAAAAGCCACTAATCGACAGCAAAAGAATACGATCAAGGAACTACAAGGGGAGGATGGGACGAAATTCTTTGGCCAGGAAGAAGTAACCTACTGTATGTTTGACTACCTAACTAAGCTTTATAAGGCATGCTTAGTTACTTCGACGACTGAAGTTATAGAAGCAGTGGAAACAAAAATAACCAGGGAGATGAATGAGGAACTACTCAAACCTTTCACTGAGATGGAAATCTGGAATGCCTTAAATAAGATGGCCCCAACAAAGGCTCCAGGAGTTGATGGGATGTCAGCCCTCTTTTTTCAAAGAAATTGGCGAACAGTGGGACCTGCAATCACAAAAGAATTGCAACAAATATTAGCAGGAGGGGCTTTCCCACCTAGTCTAAACCAGACACTTCTGGCAATGATTCCAAAAGTTAAGAAACCGAAGAACCCAAGGATTTTAGGCCAATAAGCCTCTGCAAGGTCACCTACAAAATTCTATCCAAGGTGATTGCAAATGGACTCAAAGGAATCCTCAATGCTGTGATAACAGAGACTCAGAGTGCTTTTGTCCCTCGCAGAAACATTACAGACAACATTATGCTTGCGTTCGAATGTTTTTTTGCTATGAAAAATAGGAATGAAGGAAAGAAGGGATATGTAGCAGCAAAATTGGATATCGCAAAAGCCTATGACCGAGTAGAATGGTCCTTCCTAGAGGCAATTATGCTTAAGTTGGGATTTGATGAACGTTGGATGGACCTAATAATGAAGTGTGTAACTATAGTTAGTTATTCTGCCCTGGTCAATGGTCACAAATCGCCGGTCATTGTGCCTACAAGAGGTTTAAGGCAGGAAAATCCAATCTCCCCCTACCTCTTCCTTCTTTGTGCAGAAGGCCTCTCTGCCCTAACAAAAAAGGCAGCGGAGAGAGGAGAATTGCATGGAATCCGAGTAAGCAAGAATGACCTGGAATTAACCCATTTATTTTTTTGCAGATGATAGTATTTACTTCCTAGAGAATACTACAAAGGAGGCAGCAGTGCTAAAGAGGATTCTCAAGCAATACGATGGAGTCAGGCCTACAAGTGAGCCTAGAAAAATCAGAACTGTCGTTTAGTAGTAACACTAAAGAAGTTCAGAGAGACCAAGTGGCGGAAGTTTTGGGAATGAAACAAGTGGAGTACCATGATATATATCTCGTCCTCCCTACTGTTATAGGCAGAAGCAAGAAAGCTGTGTTTAGTCAGCTTATAGACAGAGTCCGGAAAAAAAAGTAAAAATGTGGAAGAGTAAGCTATTGTCAACAGTTGGTAAGGAAATTAATAAGCGGGATTCTGGTGGGGAAGGAAGCAGGAGGAAAAGAGAATACACTGGATGAGTTGGGAGAAGTTGTGTTGATCAAATCAAGAAGGAGGAATGGCGTTCAGAGATCTTCATGGCTTCAACGTGGCGCTCCTAGGAAGACAGGTATGGAATCTGCTTAAAAATCCTACCTCCCTAGTAGCACAGGTCTTTAAAGCTAAATACTATCCCCACTGCTCAATCCTAGAGGTTGAGATTGGAAACAACCCTAGCTACATTTGGAGATCACTGATGGAAGCTCAAGGGGTGGTTAGAGAAGGAACAAGGTGGATAATTGGGGATGGCAAGCAAGTCAGACTATGGTGGGATAAATGGGTACCTGAAGGACCTGATTATAGAGTGGAGACACAGATGAATGGACTGCATTGGGATGCTAGGGTGGCAAGTTTGATTGATGAAGACAACAGAACTTGGAAAAGCAACCTGTTACAAAGGCACTTCCAACCAGAAGATCGAAAGAGAATCACTTAGATTCCCCTACCACAATGTCCTATCGAAGATATTAGGGTCTGGGGACCCGAGAAATGAGGACGATACTCAGTCAAATCTGCCTACTATCTATGGGGAGAAAAAATGAAGCCGATGAGGGTGAAAGATATGTCCCAATTGATTGGAAATGCCTCTGACATCTGAAAATTCCACCGAAGATAAGAATTTTCATATGGAGGGTGGGGAAGTAACATACTCCCTACAGGTTCGAACCTAGTGCGCAGGATTAAGGAGGCCTATGAGGGATGCCCTTTCTGTGGTTTACTTGAGACGCAGAAACACATTACCGTGATTGTGATTGGGCTGGTAGAGTCTGGCGTCCTAGCTCGCTCAGAAAGATTTTTAGCATGGGAGACAACAAAACCAGCAAAGAATGGCTTTGTGAGGTCATGGAAACATCTACGGATGAGGAATTGAGTTCATTCATAACATCCTTATGGTTTCTATGGAAGGAAAGAAATAATCAATTGTTCAATAATCCTAAGTTGGAAGAGTGGGAGAACATTTCCCGCTCCATACAGTATCTAGAGGAATTCAAGGCAGTGCAAGAAAAGGGAACTTACCCAGCGACATCGGAGAAACAGGATTACAGATGGGAGAGACCAACCGCTGGAACTTTCAAAGTGAACGTCGATGCTGCAATTCTTCATGAAGGGGGCACTGGCTTCGGGATGGTAATTCGTGACGGAGCAGGGATCTTCAAGATGGCAGTAGTCCATCGAACGAGAACTCCATGGACGCTAGAGCTTGCTGAAGCAAAAGCGATTTCCTGGGCGATGAAGTTTTCCTTAATGCACCAGTATCGGCCTCTGATTGTTGAATCGGATTGCTTGTCCGTAATTAACAGGATTTAGGAGGATGATGGATCTGAATTGGAGGTTGACACCATTTGTGGGGAGATAAGGAGGATGATGATGGAGGAAATTGGGGTTAGGGTTCGTTTCTGGGGGAGGAAGGGGAATGAATCAGCCCACCAAATGGCCCGGGTGAGATGTAATTGGGAAGAGAATGAAGTCTGGTTCGACTAGGCACCAGTTATGTTAGTGACCCAACTCATTGCTGATTGTAATCAATCCCTACCTTTGATGCATTAATAAATTCCAGAATGAGTTATAAAAAAAAAGAATGATAAACATTAAGCAAAATGCAAATAAAAAACATTTTAAAAATACACTCACTAACATTCTCATACATGAAAATTGGCCTACTAAATATTGACCGTATATATAAGTTTGCTTGGATTGGTCTACAAAAATTAGGGCAGCAAATAGATTATATTCGTTCTTTATTGAAATAATGTTCTTTGTATGTAGACTTTCGATATCTATCCATAAGAGGTCTTCACATCAACGTTTGACGTTTTTTCGTTATTAGTCTCTGTGAATATACATTTGAATCTTTTACAGTCGAATTTAGGGATGAAAATTTTGTGGTGTATAATTATTATTGCACTTATTACTATTTGTGAAATGGTAAGCTTTTCTTTTCTTGGTAAGCATGAGATTACATTGTATATCCACGGTCCACAAATTGCAGCACATATTTTTGTTTAAATTGGGTAAAATCTATTGCATTGATATATAATTGTTGTTAATCTATGAAGAGGCCAAGTTAGAATTTTTCTAATTGGCAATAGTATCCCTAAACCAAAGTAAAGGGGGAGAATATAGTATCAAAAGTTAAGGAATCACCTAAAATTGGACTGACGTGGAGTTTGGTTATTGGTATTGCATTAACTTGCTTATGTATAATAGTTTATTGAATCTACAAAATATATAAAGGCAAAACATGAATTGGAATTCTCTCATTTCAAATTTCGTTACCTGAGAGTGATTCTAGAAAAGTTATCTTTGTCATTGCACGCAGTTCATATTTATATATTAAAAATATTATCCTTGAAGTTTGAACCTTGGTCACTTAAATGAAGAACGAGCATTGTAACCAACTAGGCTACATTTCAGCGGCGGCGGACTTATACATAGATTTTCGAGGGATTGAAGAAGAAGATTTATCGACATCTGGCGTTGCGAAGAAGAAACGCGGCATCTTGGGTTGTGAGTGTGAACTGAATGCTAGGACCGGGTTGAGTAATTACAGGGGTGTCCTCCCTGGGAATACGGGTGGCGCAGGAAAAGCTGATGTGGCAAAGGTTGTTTATTGACATTCGCTTATAGTATTTTGTAGACAACAATTTATACATGGGTATGCTTATGGCCCGGAATTAGGGTTGCAAATGACCCGAGCTACTCGTGAGCAACTCGAGGCTCGGATCAGGAAAAACTCGTTTGAAACTCGACTTGTTTACTAACGAGCCAAGCTTGAGCTTAGCTTTTTCAGCTCGTGAAGCTTGCGAGATAGCTCGATTTGGTGGCTTGTTGAGCTCAACTCATGAGTTGGCTCATTTAGAGCTCATGAGATGTCTCAACATTGTGGTTTGAGGGCCAACCTTATCACTGGCTTATGGATGAATCGATATAATTTGGACTTTCATAATTCATAGGATTGTTAAATTATATATCTCACCTTATGCGAAGTTTAACATGTTGAACATGTAAGAAAATACGTCTTATTTTTAATTCTGTAAAGAAATTATGTACAAAATTATTTCGATACTATGAAATAGCTAGCATGATTTGGACTAGTTAAAACTTATTAACTAAATAATATAAAACCAATAAATTATAATATAAGATTAATTAATGTTGAACATTTGATTATTATTATTTTTATCATTACATCAATCACATGTACCATACACGACATACAAAATCAATTTATCAAATACGAGCAGAAAATTTAGTAAACAAGCCTAGCTCGAACTCGACTCGGCTCATTAATAAATGGCTTGAGCTCGAGCTCAACTCATTTGTTAACAAGTCAAGCTCAAACTGGAGTAAAAATCGGCTCAACTCGGCTCATTTGCAGTCCTACCGGAATACCATTTCTCATATGAATTTTTCAGCCAAAATATCTCCTTCACTCAAATTTTTTTATTTATTTTTAGAAAACTAAAGTATTTATTATCTACAATTTATTATCAATTTGGTATATTTTGGAGTAAAAAAAATCAAGTTAAACAATCTAGAAATAATGCCCAATGGCTAAAAGAAGATTTGGGAGCAAGTTTTGCTCGGCCACAAGCCCCTTATCGCCCGAAAGAATCCTAGAACCAAATTAGGGAGTATCAAAATCACTTTTGGTGGGGAGACCACAGACTAAACTGAAGGGTGGCGCTTGATTCTTCCTTGCCGGCGACTGAAGCAGCCTGCTCGATTTTGATAAACTAAGTTGCACCAATCTCTGGCTATTATTGTCTTGTAAGGAGACGTGGTTTTGTAGTATCGAGTCCAAAAGGTGGTCAGGGAGCCACACCCAGTCTCTGTTTATTATTGTCTCCGGCGTCGGCGCCATTCAAATCTGTTGGGTCATAACAATATTGGGACGGTTATGATTAGCTAAATTAAAAAAAGGATTAGCTAAATTGAGTTGCACCAATCGAATCCAAACACCACTAGAAAAGGATTAGCTAAATTAATTTGCACCAAAATCCTCTTGCAACTCTAATGGTCGTCCCCATCCATAGCACCCATGTCAGCTTCTTCTCTCGAGCTCTTGTGATACCAAAAACTAGGAACCGAACATATGCCTGTGGTATCTAATATGAAGAAGGCTGCTTCAGCTGTCGACAAGGAAGCCGGGAGCAATCACCAGGGGATTAATCAGTGGCGGAGACTGCGGGGTCGGGGCTTGAGGGAGACGATGGTTTCTCGGTGGAGGGGATTTCTTTAGGGTTGTTTTAATTTTAATTGATTTGGATAGAAAATAATTAAAATAAATTAGCAAGGGGCAATCAAGTCATTTCCCACCCCACTTAACAACATTTAACGGATAAATAGACGGTAGATTATATTTGTTATGTTTTAATAGTATAAGGGTACATTTGTGCAAAAAAAATTAGTTTAGGAATACATTTGTTACTTTGTGATAGTAAAGAGGTAGAAAATGCTATTAATCCTAGGCAGAAATTTATGTACAAACAAAACTAAATATTGTGAATTCATGAACTATTCCGGTGAAGTTCTTCATATGAATGGCCGATTGGAGTTTGAAGATCGCTATCGCATGAAACAACAACACCATTAACAAGGCATTAATTTTAAAAGTTTAACCGACACCAAAGCTAAAACGGGGAAGAGAATCGACGACATTTATGATTTAACTAGTAGGGGAGAAAAGAAAAGTAAGAAATGGAAATGGAAATGGAAATGGAAATGAAGACGGATCCAGCCCCCATGGACCAGTTGCCAAAGAATTTCCTCAAAACAAAGATGGAAAAGATAGAGGGTCGCGGCCGTGCACTTCTTATTCCTATTCCGATGCTCGATAAATCCAAATTGTCACCATCTTTGATACTCCCTCCCCTTCAGCTGTTTCTTCAAATCCTTTTTCCTCTCGTCTTTTCCTTCCTTTATTTCCCCGCGACCCCTCCCTCGCCCCCAACCTTTCCTTCTTTTCTGTTGCCATCTTGCTGCACAAATCTGTTAGTCCATTGTTGAATTGAGAAACCCCTTTCGCAGGTGGGGTTTTCTTTCCTTTGTTATTGTTTATCTTCTTCTTTGAATTTTTTGGGTATTGAGATTCAATTGTATTCTATCCTGGGTTTCTCAGATTTCAGTGAGAAAGGTACGCACTTTTCCGGGGGAAGAAAGGGATATGACGCGCTATTGGAGGAGTGGATGGGTGCCAGATCTTAATCATCTACCGCCTGTGGACGAGCCGGTTAATGATGGGTTAATTGATTTCTCCGCTTTTCCCGACTCAGGAGCGCAGAGTGGGGTTTTCGCCCGCCGGGGGCAGGGTCATTTTGAGTTTATCGACGATGAGATTGCCGTAATCTCTCCCAGGACTTTTGCTCAGGTGTTGTGTTAATGGGTACTGTTTTTCTCTACGTTTGTTATATTCATTTGCTTGCTTGTGCGCTAAACTTTCACGTGTCCTTCTGTTTGGCGTTCTAGGCGAAGTGCAATTCTACTAGAAACATTGTTCGGAGACTCGATGAAGGTTTTGGTGAAGCGGCACCAAGTTTCTTCAATGGTAAATCGTTGCCTCTTTTTTACATGGTTTTGGATTGTGTATTTGTGCGGGGATGTGTTTTCTGCGAAATGACATTTCTTGAACTTTTAGTTCCCAAAATCTTTGAATCTTGGGGGTTTGCGTCTCTTACTATATGCCCGTTTTCTAGTGGGTTGTGTGAAGTACAGTTTTTTATTGTTGAACTACACATGGAATCGTCTTGTGAGAATTGAGCTAGGAGAGCTGAACATCTAATCTATATTTCGCTTGGTTCTGTTGTTTATAATGATGAAACTGGACAAAAGGTCACAACTGAGACGAGGAAGGCCGAAAAGATTTGTTTTTATAAGAATGTGCTTATATTTTCTGGTTCTTCCCTCTCTAAGAACCTTGTAAGCTCTTACCTCCATGTTGAGCTTGTTCCTGATGATGATGAATATGCCACTTACCCTTGACCCTTGGATGCTCCGTTCTTGATCACCATGAAATGTTAATGACTTAGATTGACTGATCATATTCTTGAAACATTCCCTTGAAGTATTGCACAGTGTTCTTCATTGAGACTAAATACACTTGGTCGTCTCCTTTTGCTTGTAGAGCAAGCTCTTTGTTACCTTAGTTTTTATTTTCATCTTATCCTCTGTACATTGGATTGGCAGCTGGGACAACAATGTGCGAACGTTGTAAAAGGAATACGCCAGAAGTTGATGGCGAGCTGCTTTTGGAATTAGGAATCAGTAACAAGAAGGTATTTCTGATGCTTTTCGGTAGTTGATGATGAGCTTGTACAAATGGATATCTACCAATTTGTGCAATTTCATAATATGTTAAGTTACCTCTGTTTCTGGAAATGGTTTAGTTTGTCTCTGATAAGTTTTTCCAGTATGTATGTTCTCTTGAATCTTAGTCATCCCAGAGTTCTATATTTTTGTTGTTCCTGACCTCTATTGGTTATTGTAGTTTTGAAATGGTGTCAAACAGCTGTTGGTTACTGTAGTTTGAAGAGAAGTCTCCTCCCCCGCCATATATGTCTTTCATATTGGGTTTAACAATGTCATATTCTGTTAACGAGTCTTAGAAGTTATCATAATGGTTTCTTCTAATTTTACTCCTTCCTGTAATCACTATTGAATGGCTTATTGCAGGCAAAGAATGTCCATGGAGTCATATGCCCTGTCCCTGCTCCAAAAGAATCCATCTTCAGTTGCCCTGTATGCATGAGTGATCTGATCGAGCCAACATCAACGAAATGCGGCCATATCTTCTGTAAAGAGTGCTTAAGAAAATCACTAGCATCATCAAACAAGAAATGCCCTACCTGCAGGCAGAAGGTTGGCAGACGCGGCATCTTCAGAGTCTATCTTCCCATCACAAACTGAATGAACCGTGTGATGCTCGGACGTTTTCTCTAATGTTAGTATTGTTTGCCTTTAGCTGGCCCGGTAAACTCGATAAATTGTAGATTGCTTTTTCCATCTTCAATCTGCAAAACCAACTATTTTGGTCGAAGTGCAGTTGGTTCGTGAAGATTGTGTTCACTATCTTGACTCATGTGGAGTAAATTATGGAGCTCTGTTGGTGTCGATAGCAGCCTGAACTACTTTTTGTCTGCTCGCCCGCAAAGTGCACCATTTTCCATTTCTATACCATGTGCATAACATGAATTATTTGTACGTTGGATATTTAGAATTCAGTGCAATTATTGTCACCATTTTTGCTTTTCGCAACTGTTTATTTCCCCAATTACAATGAATTGCAGTATTTTTGTATTCATCACAGTTAGGGTATTTACTGTGAAGATTCTATGTTTGCATCAGAAGATGACTAAGCTTTAAGGGTGCAAGTGTTCTTGGAGCATAATTATTTTATGTCACATTTTTCAAGTACAAAATTCGAAGGTGGTTCACTATTCTTGACTCAGCCTAGTAGAGTAATTACATCGTTGACAATCGCATGAAAATCAGGTATCAATGAAACTATGTAATGTTTCCACACGCACTACTCTCAACTAAGGCCACAAGTGAGTCAAAAGGTTCAACATTCGGTTCGAGAATATCTCGTTCAACACTCTACTCATTTGTAAATAAGCCAAGTTTGAGCTATGTCTTGTTCAATTTGCAAGACTTGAGAGCCAGTTCAATTTGACGATCTATTGAGCTCGACTCGTGAGCTGGCTCATTTGGAACTCATGATCTAACCCATGGTGTGGATAGCCAGCTAACTCGACGAGCAGCTTATGATAAAAATCAATTTATAGCTTATAAATTAACTTGTTAATAATTCATGAGCTAGTTAGACTGTATCTCACCCCATTAGAGCATGTGAGCAAATATGTCTCAAGAAGATAAATTATATATTATAAATTTATGGGTGATATAATTTGTAACCCACATACATACAACAATAAATATAAGATAAATTGCAAGTTTGGTCACTGAGTTTACTAAAAAGTGTCATATTTAGTCACTCGAAATATTTAATTCTAATGTTGGTCATTCGAATTAGTAAAACGGTTCATGTTTAATCACTCTCTGTTAGTCTTCGTCAGTCAACGTTAATACTGTTAGTCAAGTGCTGACGTGGCTAACAAAATTGATAACCCACCCAATTTTAACCCATCACATCATCAAACCCGATCCAACCCGCCACGTCACTCAACCTCCCCCCTCAATTTCCCTAACCCATAAACCAACTCTTCACAATCATGACCCAACCCTCCGCCTCTAGAACCACCGTAGCTAGACAATCGCTCACCGCCTACAGAAGTTCATCCTCCCTCATCCATTGCATCTCCTTGCCACAGTGAATCCCCTCCCAGTCATTAGTTCCAATTCCCTCCCAACCAAATCGAACCCTAAAATCCACCTCTTATGAAATCCAAGAAAATGAAACCCTATATTGAAAATTGCAATTGTCAAGTTCACTCCACAAAACCCGCAATTGTCAAGTTCCTCTACAAAAGACAAGGGCAAATGAATGGAGGAGGAAGGGCAGGAGCCATGAGGATTCGTGCCTTCACTCTTGACCTTTTAATAATTGAGGGCTGTGAATACATAGAAGCAAAGTTCTCCAATAGATCTGAAGATGGGAACGAATGGGAGGCCAGGTGGGGGCAGAGGCAGTTGTTCATAGATGATGGACAATGGAGGAAATGGAAAATCCTGGGAGGAGCGGTGATAAAGCAAACATGACGCTCGAGAATGGCTGGAGAATGGAGATATGAAGAGGGATAGCGGATCTGGCTCGATCTGAAAAAGGGGAGATGATGGTCACTAACAATCGTGTTTGGCACCTGAACTTAAGTCTGCCGAATTTGGTGACAGGTTTGGAAGGGTTGGTTTATGAGTTGGATTGACGAAACTGAGGTGGCGGGTTGAGTGATGTGGCGGGTTAAAATTTGGTGAGTCAACACTTCTGTTACCCACATCAGCAGATTGACGATGTTAACGTTGACTGACGAAAATTAATGGAAAGTGACTAAACATGGACCGATTTACTTATTCAAGTGACCAACTGTCACGTAACAGATGTGGGCAAGTGGTTTCCTAGAATAAAGGATATGAATTATGGTTATTATTATTTCCATTGTTTACGTTAGAGTTTGGTTTTGCTTTTCCTTAGTTTTAGTATAGTTGGTCGTCATTTAGCTATTTAAAGGAATGAGAATAACAAGCTGAGGCAAGCATTGAAGCCAAAGCAAAACACTATTGTGTTTAGGAGGTTGGTCCTTCCTCATATAAAGGCCACTGTTACCATTTTACTTTACCAAACCCCTTTCCCAATCTCTTTCTCTCTACCAGCCAACTTCTTCATCTTCCCATACCCGTTCACTCTCACGTACACTGCTACCACCTTCTTAAAGCCATAGCTCCCAAGAAATCAATGCCCAAACACCTAGTTCCTTGGCCCCATTCCTCCCAGGAAGGAGCTACCACCCGTTCTAGATCAAAAGTACACAACAATTTGGTATCAGAGCCGGCCGCTTTCGCCGCTATGGAGGCTCGACTTGATCAGCTAGAAGCTTTACTCCGACATAAGATGCAATTAAACGAAACGAGGAGACAAGAGATGCAGCAGGAAAGCCAAGAGAATTTCGCCGCCCTCAACGCACGAGGACCCAACTACTTGGGTCTGCAGAGCTGAGCAATTTTTTGAGTTCTATGGCACTCCAGAGGAAGAGAAAGTGTTGTTAGCTTCCATCTACCTGGAGGGTGAAGCCCAACTATGGTTGCAGGTGTTAAAGAATGGTGATCAACAGCTCACCTGGGATGACATGAAGCGAGGGTTGCACACCCGGTTTGGCCCAACGCAATTCGAAGATTTCTTTGGAGAACTCACCAAGCTAAGACAGACGGGTAGTGTGCGGGACTACCAGTCCCAATTTGAGAAATTGCTTGTAAGGGCTGGGCGAATGACGAGGCACAACAAGTGAGTTGTTTTATGAGTGGATTAAAGTTGGAGATTCGAACTGATGTCCAAGTTTGTAAACCAGCGACGCTGACAGCGGCTATCGGCCTCGCTCGACTGTATGAAGACCGTTCGGGGCATGTACACCAGGGGATGCGATTTCATGACACACCTCGTGGGAATCTGCCAGTCAAGAGACTGAATCCAGCAGAGGTGAATGAAACGTGGGCCAAGGGGATTTGATTCAATTGCAATGAAAGATTCAGCCCCGGCCATCGTTGTAAGAAGCTCTTCTTGTTGGAAGCGATTGATGTCGTGGAGGAAGACGTTGATATGGAGCTAAAAGATGTCAATGAGCTAGGGATTTCAAACCATGCTATATTTGGTGCTCAATCTACTCGGACGATGAAGGTTCATGGAAAGATTCTCAAACGTTTGGTGTTGGTTTTACTTGACTCGGGCAGTACTCATAATTTTCTGAGTTTGAGAATGGCTAAAAAGATGGGATTGAAACCTAAAAATTCAGGGAACTTTTCTGTCTCTGTGGCTAATGAGGATAAGGTGTCAAGTCCAGGACGCTGTTCAAAGGTAACTCTCGTTGTTCAAGGGCTGAAAATCACCACTGATTTCTATCTCTTGCCACTTGCTGGGTGTGATGTTGTCCTCGGTACCCAATGGTTGCGTTCATTGGGGCCAATCACTTGAGATTTTATGAAATTGACTATGGATTTCAAGCTGGGAGATGCCAAAGTTCATTGGCAGGGTATCACTACCCCAGAGAACCAAATGGTGGATGAGTTTGCGGCAGCCAAGGAAGTAAGAAAGATTCAAGGTGGATTTCTGCTACTCATCAGTGGCACCCCCAGCTCCACTATGATCGAACAGCAGCTACCCAACTTGCTCCAAGATTATGTTGATCTCTTCAAGGAACCCAACGGGCTTCCACCGCCCCGCAGCCATGATCATCAGATTCCTCTCATCCATGGAAGTCAACCTGTTAGCAGCCGACCATATCGATATCCCCATTATCTCAAACAAGAACTTGAGAGACTTATCGAGACCTACTCGCTTTTGGTGTCATTCGACATAGTCAAAGCCCATATTCTTCACCAGTAATCCTTGTCAAGAAGCATGACGGCTCCTGGAGGTTGTGTGTTAATTATCGGGGCCTCAATCAAGTCACCGTCAAGGACAAGTTCCCAATCCCGGTGATTGACGAGTTGTCGGATGAGTTACACGGGGCTACCTATTTCTCCAAGCTAGATCTCCGCTCTGGTTATTACCAAATTCGAGTGGCAGCCGAAGACATCCCAAAAACTGCGTTCCGAACTCATCAAGGGCACTATGAATTCCTCGTCAAGCCCTTTGGACTCACCAACGCACCATCTACCTTCCAGTCCTTGATGAGCGAGGTATTCAAACTGTTCCTTTCCAAATTCGTATTGGTTTTCTTTGACGATATTCTGGTTTATAGCAAGACCAAAGAGGAACATTTGGGCCACCCCAAATCTGTCTTTGAGCTTTTGAGGAAGCATAGTCTGTATGTCAAAATGGAAAAGTGCTCATTTATCCAACAAGAAGTTAAATACTTGGGTCATCTTATTTCTCATGCTGGCGTAGCTGTGGATCCTGACAAAATCCAAGCCATGGTGGCATGGCCCAAGCCTCAATCCATCAAATCCCTACGAGGATTCCTTGGCCTTACAGGTTAGTATCGTAAATTCATTAAGGACTACGGAAAGATTGCTGCTCCTCTCACTCAGATGCTGAAAAAGGGTCAATTTCACTGAAATCCGGAGGCTGAAGCTACTTTTCAGAATCTCAAGACTGTAATGACGCAAGCACTAGTTCTCACCCTTCCGGACTTCACTCAACAATTTGTAATTGAGTGTGACGCTAGTGGCTCGGGAATCGGTGCGGTTCTCATGCAAAATCAACACCCCATTGCCTTTTTCAGCCAAGCACTTAAGGGTACCTCTCTTCGCTTCTCTACATATGAAAAAGAAATGTTAGCTCTGGTTTTGGTAGTGAAACGTTGGCGCCCATATCTCTTAGGCCGCCAATTTGTGGTGCGCACCGATCAATGGAGTCTCAAACACCTTTTGGAGCAGAAAATCACCACCCTCATGCAAGAAAGATGGCTGACCAAACTAATTGGATTTGATTTTTCCATCGAGTATAAGAAGGGAGTTGAGAATAAGGCAGTCGATGCTCTATCGCGCCAACATGAACTTTGTGCCATCTCTACACCAGTTGCTTCTTGGCTGGATACAATCACAGAGGAAGTTATGGGGGATTCTCAGATTCAGCAACTCATGCAATCGTGTGTGGATGGGAAGACTTCTAATTTTTGGGAGGATACGTCATGGCATTCTTTACTATAAGGGTAGGATTTATCTTTCTGCCACTTCTTCTTTGGTGCCTCTCATACTCAAGGAGATGCATTCCAGCACTCATGAAGGGTACCACAAGACATTACAGCGGATTTTGACTGTCTTTTATTGGCCCAACTTATGACCTATGCTACGGGATTTTATTCGACAATGTGACGTTTGTCAGAAGAACAAAGTTGAAAGCCTCAAACCTGTTGGGCTCCTTAGTCCTCTTCCTATTCCGACTAACACATGGATGGATATTTCCATGGACTTTGTTGAAGGGTTGCCCAAAGCACAAGGAAAATCAGTCATATTTGTGGTGGTTGACAGATTGTCCAAAATGGCCCACTTCATCCCAATCAGCCACCCATACGCTGCCAACACAATTGCTGAAGTTTTTTTTCCAGAATATCTTCAAACTCTGTGGTATGCCCTCTAGCATTGTATGTGACAGAGACACTACTTTTACTAGTTAGTTTTGGAAGGAACTCTTTCGCCTGCAGGGTGTTAGTTTCAATTTCAGCTCAGCATATCACCCACAAACTGATGGGCAAATAGAAGCCGTTAACAAGGCACTTGAGATGTATCTTCGTTGTTTCACTGGCGACCAACCGAAAGAGTGGATCAGGTGGCTGCCTTGGGCTGAATACTGTTACAACACCAGCAAACACTCCTCCACTGGACATACCCCATATGAAATTGTCTACGGCAAGCCTCATCCCTCCTTACTTGCTTATGTACCAGGCACAACTAAGGTGGCAGCGGTGGACCTTGCTCTCCAACAGCGGGATCAAGTCCTCCAACATCTCCGGCAGCAGCTTCTGAAGGCTCATGAGAGGATGAAGAAGATTTATGATGTGGGTCGACGTGATCGCAATTTCCAAGTTGGAGATTGGGTTTATGTTAAGCTCTACCACTTTCGACAGCTCACCCTCACTTTGCAGAAGCATTACAAGCTGGCCCCACGATTTTATGGACCCTATCAAGTTCTAGAGCATATTGGCCTTCTTGCATATCGGCTGCAACTGCCTCCCGCGGTTAAGGTTCACCCAGTATTTCATTTTTCTTGTCTCAAACCTGCATATGGAGTTGTACCACATGACCCTCAGCCTAGGGATGGCAATGGGTCGGGTTGGATCGGGTTTTGCCAAACCCAAACCCATGGGTTATCTTTGAAAAATACCCGGGGTAAAACCCACTGGGTTTGAAAAACTCAAACCCAACCCGTTGGGTATCCGCGGGTTCATGGGTACCCACGGGTTTTGTCGTAAAAAATTTACAATTACAAGTTCTTATCAAAATTAAAGTCAAATATCAATCTCTCAATACAAATTATCCATATATAAAACACCATTCTAGAAAATTCAAGCAAATCACAAATTAACTATACAAATTGTTCAACACCAATCTAGAAAACTCAAGAAAATCACAAATTGTCCATAAATAACATGTTTAATTGAAAGCTTCTTCCTTTCAATTAAGTTTTTTTACTCTCCACTCCATAACATCAACTTCATTCTACACAATTAAAAAGAAAAAATTAGACATGTCTCCACAAACATAAATAAGATTAGTTGTTTAGAATATTAAATATACCGAAAAAATTAATTATATGGGTGGGCGGGTACCCACGGGCCGGGTTTGCCTAAACCCAAACCCAACCCAACTCGGTGAATAGTAAACGGGTTTAAACCCAAACCCGGCCCAAAACCCGTCAACGCGGATTTTACCCGCGTTGACCGGGTTGGGTCGGGTGGGTACCCGTGGGTTCGGGTTTTGTTGCCATCCCTACCTCAGCCTCTGCCTAATATCCCAGACTTTGAAGTATCACCCCAAGCCATCCTCGACCAGCGCAAGAACAAGGGAGTCCACGAAGTTCTAGTGCATTGGAGTAATTCCTCACCAGCAGAAGCTACGTGGGAGCCCATGGCCACTCTACAGCACCAATTCCCTTCGTTGGTTCTTGAGGACAAGAACACTTTCTAAGGGGGATGGAATGTCACGTAACAGATGTGGGCAAGTGGTTTCCTAGAATAAAGGATATGAATTATGGTTATTATTATTTCCATTGTTTACGTTAGAGTTTGGTTTTGCTTTTCCTTAGTTTTAGTACAGTTGGTTGTCATTTAGCTATTTAAAGGATGTCATCATTTAGCTATTTAAAGGATGTCATTTAGCTATTTAAAGGAATGAGAATAACAAGCTGAGGCAAGCATTGAAGCCAAAGCAAAACACTATTGTGTTCAGGAGGTTGGTCCTTCCTCATATAAAGGCCACTATTACCATTTTACTTTACCAAACCCCTTTCCCAATCTCTTTTTCTCTACCAGCCGACTTCTTCATCTTCCCATACCTGTTCACTCTCACGTACACTGCTACCACCTTCTTAAAACTATAGCTTCCAAGAAATCAAAGCCCAAACACCTAGTTCCTTTGCCTCATTCCTCCCAGGAAGGAGCTACCACCTGTTCTAGATCAAAAGTACACAACACCAACATTAAAATTAAATACTTTGAGTTACTAAACAATAAACATGACACTTTTTAATAAACTCAGTGATAAAACTTTCAATTTATCTAACAAATTTATATGTCAAACCGTGTGATCAAAATTTGTTTTTGTTAAGCCACCCAAGAGTCGGTCACAAACTAGTTTTTTTATAGACTAGAAAGGAATAGTCGACTCGCCTGGCTCAAGATAGGGTGCATAACCATGGGTTATGCATCCATCAATAACCAAATCTAAACCCTTCATTTAGAAAATCCAGATCTAAGGATGGAGAATTAAAGATCATTTTTATTTTCTCTAGCTTTCTTAATCGGCTCATATCTTTTTCGTTTTAACTCGGATTTTAATTTTTTTTGCATAGGTGAAACGAGTTCATCGTGCTCTACAAAATGAGATCAATTTTAAATATTTTTTTAGAACAAAAAATTATGGCCTCTCGGTACCAACTGCATACCATATGATATTTTCTTCATTTTTAATTCGTTTTTGAAAACGTTTGCACAGAAGGGACGAGTTCATCATGATCTATTAGATCTACAAATTTCTGGGTGAACAAATTACAGGACCAAAAAATACCACACAATACCATACAATACCACCTTGGTACGGGGTGGTATTGTATGGTATCTTCTTCGTTTTTGAAAACGTTTGCACAGAAGGGACGAGTTCATCATGATCTATTGGATCTACAAATTTATGGGTGAACAAATTATAGGACCAAAAAATACCACACAATACCATACAATACCACCCTGGTACGGGGTGGTATCTTGTGGTATACAATGTTAAAAGTCGTAAATGACAATTAATATATTTCTACTATTATGTATTCAACCATCCTACAGTCTTGGTTTGTTCATACCACCATGGTACTTTTTTCAAACCATATGTATGCTTTTATTTCAATACCAGTCAATACCATATGGTATAGACTGGTAAAAAATGGCTCAATTTTTTTTGTTCGAAAAATATATTAAAGTGGATATCATTTTGAAGAGCACAATTAATCTGATCTAACTGTGCAAAAAAAATTAAATTTCGACTTAAAATGAGTGAGAAATCGTTCGTCAAAGATTAAAGAGGGGAAAATTAAAGGTTTTCCAGGAGAGAGAGGATGCTGATGTCATGCTGATGTGGACGGGTTACTCATGGTTACTCACCACAAAGTTACTCACCTGATCTGCTCCCGACTCGCCTGTCAGAATTTGACCCGGCTTTATCTTCCTCCCTGTACTTGTTCCGATAAAAAACAGAAACAGATTAACGAATGCTAATCGACTTCGAAAAAAGTCCGATTATCTCTTTATATATCGATTTCGATTCGACCAAAAGGGAGCCTCTCTCTTCCGATCAGCTCGAAATTGCTCTCCCGCGTTATCTCAAGTCTCAACGTCGATCGCTACTCAAATTTTCTGCGAGCAGAAGCTCGAGGTGGGCAAACTGGAACGAACCCAATTTAGCCGGAGGTATTGATCCGTGTCTCTGATTTGAAGTTCATAGTGGTGGTAGTAATAGAGGTTGAAATTTGCCTTCTTGGTTTATGAACTCCGTAACTGCATCTTTTTGTGGGTTTGAAGGACGAATTCTGTTAATGGATGGCAATAATCAGATGGCTCCTGCGCTTGGGGGAGAAGCTCCTGTGGATGGGGGTGACTGGAGAGCTACACTGCAGGCGGCGTCACGGCAAAGAATCGTGAACAAAATGTGAGTTGAATGGTTTCGTACTGCTGAGTGATTATTTCTATTCTAAGCTTTGTTTTGTGGGTTTCGTGTGTTTGTTTTTTTATAGTTTTCTGAGACAATAGGATAAACTGAATTGACCAATGAGGGAAACATGGATATAGTTTATTAGAGCTTCTATATGAATGAAAGGAAAAAACTGAACTGTGTTACCTTCAGAAATATTTGGGCGCATTGTGCAGATGGGAGGGTTTTCCTTGGGCACAAATATGAATTTGAATGAGGAAATGGATGAAGACTTTGTACCTGGATGTGACAATTCTGTGGCAACAGCTTACGGTTTTCCCTAGGCGAATATATGTTGAAGAATTTTTGGCGGGGTTTTACCTCTTGATTAGTTGCTTCTTTTGTAACTATGTACTTTCATTCTCGGCGATCACTGATTGTGGCTAACTTATGGTACAGAATGGAGAAAATTATGAGGCATATACCTTATTCTGGCCATGAGGCTGAGGGGCTACAAGAACTGAAGCAAATCGCTATACGGTTGGAGGAAAAGAATTATACTGCTGCAACTAGTCAGGTATCTTGATAACGGCTAGTGATGCTTGTAACACAATTTCATGAAGGTGCTTATGGAAGAAGGAATTTTTCTGCCTATGGCTGCACCTCGAAGATAAGATTGATGATGTACTAATTTTATGTTTATGTAGTCTGATTATTTGCGCAAGATATCTATCAAGATGCTCACAATGGAGAACAAATCACAGAATTCTAAACCCAATTCGTTGCTGCCTAGCTCAGCAGGCACTGTCAATAAGCTCCCTAATCCAGGAGGTACTACAGAGTTATTGTGCTTTTCTTCTATAGTAAGAGATAACTAACTTTCATGGCCTTTTACTTCTAGTGCATAGTTGTTGTTTTATGATAGGGAGAATGCTAATATCATCTTCAACTTCTATATCAAATTCTTATCTTAGGGGGAAATGATATCAAGAGAGATGTTTCTGTCAGTACTTTCTGGTTTATGCTAATTACTGTCGTTGCTGTTTCTCTTATTTTGTTTCTTGTTTATTTCGTTAAACTGAAGCGGTATGGTAAAAGGTTGCCTCTTGAACTTGTAGTGCCCAAAATCTTTTAAGCTCTGGAGTTCGCTCTTCTTGCTATATGCCCCTTTTCTAGTGGGTTGTGTGAAGTACGGATTTCATTGCTCATCTAAACTTGGAATGTCTTGTGATAATTGAGCTAGGAAATCTGAATATCCATCTACTGTTCTTTCTAATGATGGAGCAGTGAAAAAGTCAGCAGATACGATGAACACCAAAACATTTGGTTCTTTAAGATTTTGCTTATATTTCCTGGTTCTTCCCTCTCTAAGACCCCCTAGCTCTTATGTTCCAGTTCCACCTGGTTTATCATAGTGATGGATATACCACTTACCCCTGGGTGCTCCGTTCTTGATCACCGTGAAATGCTAATGAGTTGATTGACTGACCACATTCTTGAAGTATTGCTCGCATTCTTTACTGAGACTAAGCTTGGCTGTCTCCCTTTGCTTTTAGAACAAGCTCTTTGTTGCCTTTTGTTTTTTATTTTCATCCCATCCTGTGTGCATTAAATTGGCAGCTGGGACGATGATGTGTGTACATTGTAAAAGGAAAATGCCAGAAGTGGACAGCGAGCCGTTCCTGGAATTAGGAACCAGTAACAATAAGGTAAGTTTGATGGTTTACACTTTCAGTAGTTGATGATGAGCTTGTGCAATGTGGATATCTACCATCTTGTGCAATTTTATAATATGTTCATGTCACCTCTGTTTCAGGAATGGGTTAGTTTGTCTCTCGTAAGTTTTTCCACTATGTATGTATGTACTCTTGTAATCCTAGGCATCACAGAGTTCTAGATGTTAGCTGTCCTAGAGTTCTATGTATCTTAGCTGAAAAGTTTGGAATAGTGTCAAACAACTGTTGGTTATGTAATTTTGAAGAGAAGTTGCAACTTGTAACCCCCTACATATGTCCTCCGTATTGGGTTATGTAGTTCGTCTCTGGTAAGCTTTCCAGTATGTATATACTTTTGTAATCCTAGTCATCCAAGCGTTCTTGATGTTAACGGTCCTAGAGTTACATTTATCTTGGCTGTAAAGTTTGGAATGGTGTCAAACAACTGTTGGTTATGTAGTTTTGAAAGGCAAGTTATAACTTATAGCCCCCCACGTATGTTCACCATATTGGATTTTGGCAATGTTATATTTTGCCAGTTGAGTCTTAGAACTTAATCGTTAAGTGTTTCTTCTAGTTTTGTGTTTTCCTCATTCCAGTGATTACTGTTGAACATCCTTTTGCAGGCAAAGAATGTCCAGGAAGCCATATGCCCAGTCCCAACACAAAAAGAATCCATCTTCAGTTGCCCTATATGCATGAATGATCTGGTCGAGCCAACATCCACAAAATGTGGCCATATCTTTTGTAAAGAGTGCTTAAGAAAATCACTAGCATCCTTCGACAACAAGTGCCCTACCTGCACGCAGAAGGTTGGTAAACGTGGCTTCTTCAGAGTCTACCTTCCCACCACAAACTGAATGAAAGGGTGAATGCTTGGAAGCTAGCTCTTAGGATAGTAGTATACAGGCTGCTTTCTTCAATCTGCAAAACCAGCTATTAAGCTGCAACTGCAATTTGGTTCACGAAGTTGAATAATCAAAGGTGGTTCACAATTCTTGACGACTCCTACCGAGTAAATCATGAGCTCTGTTGGGTATCTGACAGCAGCTCTTTCTTTGTAAGTTGTCAATGATACAGATAGACTCGTATTGACGATTCAGGATTTACTGCAATTATACAATTACCATTTTTCTTTCCTGCAGCTGTTTTTATCCCCATCAAGGTTACGTATACTGTAAATATTCTCTATTTGCATCAAAGGATGATCAAAAGCTTTAGTGGTGGAAGTGTTGCAAGTGCATAATTTCGAATGCCACATTCTCTGTAACTAGTCAGTTTTAATAGGTCTTCGATTTCTGATGTAGTGACTAGTGACCAGACGTTTTAGAGAAATCTCCCGACTCATTTGAAGTTTGGACGTTGAGCTTTTACCGTCGTGAGGCTAATATCGTTTTATTGCTTACAGGACGGTAGCCTTAAGGTGGACAGTAATTTTGAACGATATGTTAAAATTCGCGACAAACATATATCAATGCAACGAGCATAAATGTACAGAGAGTTTGAGCATGCAGGTGATATAACCAGCAGCACCATAATCAAACATGGCGACAAAACAGCTTGAAATATGTTAACAATTAACCTATTCAGCCAGCCCCCATAAATCAGTACTCTTTACCACTACTAACTTGACATGAACCAAAAACTGAACTAGGTAAATAAACAAATCATTGCTGCAATACCCACAAACAGCGGCTCAGTAAGTTTTGCTTAGTCTCATACTTAACTGTGTACTCTAACGTCATCACGCCGTCTCCCGGCTTAACCTGCTGCATGCAAACCAGACAGAGGCCACCATTGCATCATTATCAGCTGAATGATCCTACTAAAGAGTTCCGAATTCGACGCTACAAGTCACATCTTCTATAATTAAATCCACTGCAGAAAAGTGAAAACCAAGTGGACCTGTTACACTTTGCGACATATGCATGATACTGATACACAGAAAGTTTGAGTGTGCAGGCAACTAATAACCAGCGGCAGAAAGCATAATCAACACAATATGACTCGAACTACTCAACAGAAATCAACCATTAGCCACCTACCTATTAGCTCTGCCCCAAACAACTAGTATCAATAATACTAGGGGTGTACAAAGTAGGTGCTGCAGAGTCTGCTAACTATGGTTCAGAGCTGAGAGAAACGATACTGAAACTAGTGCAGAACAACTTAGAACTCCAGGTTTTGGCTTCCTCTCCTAGGTCTCCAGTTAATACAAAAATATCGGCCATACTAGAAGAAAAAGGGTTGGAAGAACCAAAAGAACGGTGACAAGTTATCCTACAGATCACCGACGACGAATTACTGCATCAATGGGTGCAGAAAATAGCAGGTGCCTTTAGAAACTGATATTCTATATGCACGAAATGCCAAAGTTAAGCTGGCCACTCATTGTATGTCTAGGCCTCTAGGGGATAAGAACCAAATAAGCAAGCCAGCTCTCCACAAACTTGATTGCAAAACTCATAAGGAAGCACTGAATGAAAAGATCCCTCATTTTCAATTATGAACTTTTCATTCTCTACTTTGTTCTACCATCATGATCATTCATTTCTGCAGCAAACTCTGTCAGAAGAAAGATAACCCTACAACAACTTCATACCAAACTCAGAAGATAATTCTCATCTTGATCGCTTACCGCTTACCCCTTTCAAATCCAATCTTGCTGCTGTAGCTTCAATGGCAGGTAAACCTCAGACAAATACTGAAACCCGAAAGAGCTCAACGCCTGAATCTCAGCCTTCTGCTTAGTCTTCACCATCAAAGTCAGCTCCTCCACCCACGCTGGATTTTTCTTAACGAAATCCTCCTCCAACAAGTCCTTCCCTGTCTTAATATCCTGCTCCGTCATCGGCAGCCGACATTGCTCCGGTATCTTATACTTATCAAGATCACTAGGCCGAACCCCTAGCCACTTGATATCAGGTGTAGTCAAATTTGCACTATCATACGACATATTCTTTGATCCACATCCGTAAACGGAAAGAATCTTCAGTCCGTAAGGATCGCTATCCACAAGCGCGAGAACAGGAAGCTTGAGCTCCATTTTCATCTTCCTAAGAAACAGCCTGGTCGCCACATCCGGCTGTCCCTTCGCCGTCACAATAATGCAAGGGAACCGATTGTAGAATCGGTCCTCTGCCAATCTCATGTAAGCAGCGTCTTTCTCCACCAACAGTATGAACAGCGCGTCGCTCTGCATATCCCCCACCCTGTCAATGTTGGGAGGGATGGCTTTCCCGCCGATCCCCATTTTCGTGCAATCGATCATGTCGCCGTCGTCGCTGAAAACCAATCTCCCGACGACCACGCCTTTCTCGGCGGCGACGACGTTGAGAGAAGATCTGGTGCAGCCGAGCACGCAAGAGACGTCGTCGAGCACAGCGTCGGATTGGGTCTGGTCCTGGAAGAGCTTGACGTCGGTGTAGAAGAGATCGCGCTTGGTGACGTGGATGTTCTTGAGGCAGAGCTGGTGGATCAGCGACAGGATTTTGGTGGTGATGGTGGCCTTGCGGACGGAGGAATTGTTGGCGAAGGGGCGGAGGGTGTTTTTGTCTTTGAGCACGATTCGGTCGAGCTCCGGGACGTAGAGCTGGTTGGTGGCGGCGCGTGAGGGGACGTTGAACGAGAAGCCGTTCCCGGCGATGATGGAGCGGGCGAGGGAGAGGATTACGCCCTCGATGTTGGACTGGACGGAGTCGGGGGACTGGTCGGTGACCTCGCGGCAGGCGGCGGTGAGGGCGAGCTCGGAGAGGGATTTGGGCTTGGAGGAGGAGCTGGAGGCGGCGGCGATTGTGGATTTCTGGAGAGATTTTAGGGTTTCGAGGATGGCGGAGTCCGGTTTGAGATTCTTCTTGAAGGGAAGCTCCGGAGCGCCGTCGTCCGCGCGGCGGCGCTTCTTGGACTTGCCGGTGGTGTCTGCCATTGAGCGGGGGGCTGCGGGGAAGAGGAGGCGGGAAACTGGAGAGAAGAAATGCTGAATTTGGGATGGTTTTCGCGGTAGAGTATTTGGAGTAAGGAATTAAATTCTCAGGCGGCACTCCAGTTCAGACTTCAGAGGGAAGGGCCGCAGGGGCAGGTCACAAAGTGATGCCAGGTGGCATAACAAGACTCGAGAGTCGAGACTGGAGAATCTGGACTTGGGCTTGGGCTTGGGCTCGGGCCTAGGCTTGAATAACGGGCCCACTTCTGCTCCCGCTACTCTACTAAGTAAGGTTAATAAAAGACGTGCAAACCGACATATTCATTCACACGGTTCAAATTATGCATGTGTTCGTTTATAACTTTTTTATCTTATTTTGGTAAATGTTTTTGAAAAAACTAAAAGCAAATTGCATTTCATTACATCCAAACAATATCGGGTAAATGACACATTTGGTCACTGAGATTACTAAATCGTGTCATACTTAGTCACTAGAAAAATTTAATATCAATTTTGGTCACTCGAATTACTGAAACAGGTCACATTTGGTCACTCTTCTGTAGCCTCTGTCCAACTCCGGTCACTCGAATTATTGAAAAATCTCACATTTAGTCACTCAGATTACTGAAACATGTCACATTTAGTCACTCTCCCAAAAGTTTCCATCCAACTACATTAATGGAGTTGGACGGAAACTGACGGGAGAGTGACTAAATTTGACCAGTTTCGGTAATTCGAGTGACCAAAATTGATATTAATTTTTTTAGTGACTAAACATGACACAATTTAATAATCTCAGTGACCAAATGTGTCATTTACCCAAACAATATCTATGCATTTTGATACCTTTCACCTTAATTTATTTGTTTGAAATTTTAATTAGTTATATAATTTTTTTTTATAATTAGTTTTTCCATTAAACTCACTTGATCAACTCGATCAAGTTGCAAAAAACTCATATATACATCTTATTGTGATACTAGTTGAAAACTTAAAAATGCAACTGTCGGTTCCTACCAATACTGCTCTTCTACAAAGCTGCATGAAATCGGTCATCTCCAATTGCCAACAACTTAATCTGCTCCCGCAATTGCGAGAGGATCACCTCCCAAGGTTTTGCCTGTTCTCCAAACACACGTCCACAACGTTCTTTCCACACCAAGCTACAAATCCAGCACCAGACAACACTAATAACAGGTCCTTCTTCACCCTTTTTCGCCAGTACACACAACTCATGCAACAGTCGATCCTAGTCTGTGTTCCAGCTGCGAAATAGGTATCCAAACACTTCTGCAAATAGACTACCAGCATACTCACATGCACAAAACAAAACAAATTATATCTACTTTCCTCTTCCCTAACACACATCACACACACTGCATCAGATATTTTTCCCCAAGCTTTAAGTTTATCCCTTGTTACAATTCGGTTCAGAATGATCAGCCACATTATGACCCTGTTTCTTGGAAGAGTGAATCTGCCCCAAATAAGTTGCCACCAAGGAACTGAGGGTTTATGAACTCTAATCGACTCCCAGACCTGCTGCACTGAAAATATCCTCATAATCTTGCCTTCCCAAAGGACATTATGTTGGTCATCAATAGTCATTCTATATGGGAACCATCCTCGCAACTATCTCCAAAGCCAAGATCCTGTCATAGTAGGCTTCAGCTCCCAAATAGAGTGAGCTTTGAGCCTGTAGCGTCTTACCACGCCACCCAAAAGCTCCCCCCTGCAGAAATAGTAGCCACAAGAGATAAGCTATACAAGCCACGTTCCAAGTACGAAGGTCCCTCAAACCCAAACCTCCCTCTTTCTTTTGCACAACTAATAGACCACATGCAACTTTTGCTTTCCCTGTGCCTTCTCCAAACCATAAGAAGTCTGAGCAGATTTTTTGAATGCGTTCAATGACTTTCTTAAGCAGAACAAATATGGTCATCCAATACTGGCAGAGAGAGTACAAGACAGAGGAAACAAGTTGGAGTCGTCCTGCATATGACAATATACCAACTCTCCAACCTCTTATCCGACTAGTCAATCGATCTAACAAGACTTCACATTCTCTGCTAGTGAACTTGCCAGACACCAAAGGCAGTCCCAGATATCTAACATGCAAGTGACCCTCCTTAAAACCACTAAGAGCCAGTGCATTCTCTTTGTAGTGGAGGGCTTGGCCCCCAAAAAAGACCTCACACTTATTTGGATTGCACTTCAACCCAGAGATCCAATAAAAATTATCAAGTAAATTCTTTACAATGGCTAATGCTCGTGAAGACCCCTCAGTGAAGATGAGTAAAGCATCCTCAAAACAAAGATGTGTTAGATTTAGCTCCTTACACCAAGGGTGATAGGGGAGATTAGACTTCTGAGCAGCATCATCAAGCAATCTAGAGAGTGGCTCTAATGCAATTGTAAACAGGTAGGGGGATAGAGGACTCCCTGCCTGACTCCTTTCTTTGCCTCAAAATGATCAAATAGAGTCCCAAACAAACTCACACTAAAGAATGCAGTACTAAGACAAGCTCGAATCCAGTTCATATAAACCTCAGAGAATCTCGTAGTTTGCATGACCATAAACAGATACTTCTAATCAACAGAGTCAAAAGCTTTTTGCAAATCTATCTTGACCGCACTTCTAGAGGCAATGTGTTTAGTAGAATAGTTTTGAACCATTTCTTGAGCCATTAAAATGTTATCAAGTATACTTCTGCCTTTGATGAATGCATATTGATTCTAACTTATGACATTGGGAAGAACCTGCTGAATTCTGTTGGCTAGGACTTTGGATGCTATCTTATAAAACATGTTTATACAAGCAATAGGTCTAAACGCAGTCAACTTATCAGCATTCGAAGTCTTAGGTGCTAAAGTCAAGGAAGCAGTGTTCATACCTCTAGGCAATGATTTAAAGATAAAAACTCACGAATACCAGCAGATACATCCATGCCAATTATCTCCCAACACTTATGATAGAAATTTATTGACCAACCATCAGGACCAGATGCATTTGCTGGGTCCATAGAAAAAAGTGTAGCTTTAATCTCACATAAGTTGCTACATGATCATACTGTGGCTTGATTTCTGTGTTTGCTGTACCATACAAAAGTTTATAAAAGTCAACTGACTCCCCTACAATATGCTCAGGTTTAGTTATTGTTTGCCCAGTATCCAATACAAGATGCCTTATCTGCTTTCTGACTTTTCTGATCTTAACATACATGTGAAAAAACACTGAATTGGAATCACCCTTAGACAACCACTAAATCCTTGACTTCTGGTGGTAGAAACTCTCCTCAGTCTGATGCAAATGGTGATAACGTGCAGTTGCCAACCTTTCTTCCTCGTAACTTGTCGCAAAAGGATTCTCAAGAGCTGATAATTGTTTCTTTTTCATCTCCTGCTCAGCCTCTCGCACTCTTCCAGAGGTATCTGAAAATTCTGTTTTATTAAACTCTTTGAGTGCCTTCTTGAGTTTAATTAATTTCCTTTTATATCGCTAAAGTGGAGATCCCTCTACCTGTTCCCCCCAACATTCGCGCAAAATAGTCCAGAACCCATTGTGGGAGAGCCACGTATCAAAGAATATGAAAGGCTTGGGGAATGATTTCCTCTGAACCTTAGAATGCAATAGTATACCACAGCGATCCGAAAATAAAGGTGCCAAAAACACAACAGTGGAATCTGACAGGCGATCAAACCAAGAATCATTGACTAAAAGTCTATCAAGTTTTCTGGCAATTGGGTTACCTTGCTGATTATTTGACCAATAAAGAAAGGGCAGAGGCCTGATGATCCACTAACTTCATATCCTCCACCCAACTTCTAAAATCCATCATGCTGCTGGTAACAGAGATCTCGTTTGAAACTTCCATGGGATTAAGGACTGCATTAAAGTCCCGTCCTACAGCCCAAGAAAACCCCTGCATACACCACCTCCTCAATGAATTATACGTCAATAGCCTCTCATTCTCCTCATTTGAAGCATATACTATAGTTAGAAAGAACTGTTTAGTGCTGGAGATAGAAACTAAAGCATGAATGAAGCAAGCGCTTCTTGCAAGTACTCGCAATTGGATACCCGATTTCCATGCTAACCAAATCCTGCCAAGCCTATTATATGTATTATTATCTGCAAAAGTAAAATCAATAAACTTCTCCTGAATCTTTATAGAATTCTTCTCTTGAATCCTTGTTTCCAAAATTGCCATGACTAATACTCCATACTTCCGCATGCATTCCAGAACATAGTCGTGCTTTGAGGGGCTGTTAAAACCCATCACATTCCATACCATATAATTACTGTCATTTCTTCAGAATGGGCACCAAGAGTACCCCCCTTCTGACTTCTTAAACCCTCACGAACTGGTTTTACCGGTAGTTTCTAGAGCTGTATCTCAGGACCCCGTGCACAAGTTATTAATATTTTTGTGGTGCAGAATAATTGCAATTTTGTGTTGGATTGGATTTTTATTTAAAAGTATCACCCACCCAATCCAACTCAATTATAAATAAACCATAGGGTTCCAAAAAAAATTGGATGAGTTTGGATTTGGTATTTCCAAAATCATAAAACAATATTGGTCGCGTGATTAAAATAACTAAACCTGGACCACCCGACCCATGTACGCTCCTACTAATATCTTGCAATTTAAAATGCAGCTTCATCTTTTTTGTCATTGAAAAATGAAAAGGCAAGCTTGTGGTTGTAAGACTGATGTGAGGCGAAGTCTTCTTCTCGGGGAGATCTTTATAATGTACTAGTGATCCATTGGATCCAATAATTTATATGAATGTTTACATATATAATATTAATTAAAGATTAACCACTCCTAAAAACTAATTAACGCAATGGCTTTCGAGTAGTGTACATAATGGATTTTGTGATTTCATATGCTTTCACCAAAATTTATTTATTATCCACTAATGCTGAAAGTTTATAAAGACTTGTTAATTTCAATAATCGTAAAAATAAAGAAAATTACAACTAAACCAAATAAGAT